ATATATATAAGTAGATTTTTTTTATTCTAATCAATTTTTACTGTTGTCATATTGGTGTGTTTTTGTAAACCATATCTATTTAAATGTAAATGTAGACCCATTTTAACTGCATTTACTGTACCGTTAAAGTTTTGTGGGTAGCGTAGCATAACGGTCTTTAAGGCTCGTGGGTGTGGGAATTCATTCTTCTGTTGAGTGTGTCTATTATTATAAAGGTCATAGTAACATCTTTAACCCTTAATATTTTCTTCAATAAACAAGCAATGAACAAATGGTATATCATTCTGTATATCTTAGCAATAAACATAGGTAATATTCTCAAATAATTTGATTAATATCTAAGGTTAAGTCTATACCCTCCCTTTTCCTATTAATTATCAATCAATAGCATTTTAATAAACAAAATAAAAATAGAAGAGACAGAAGCGAGACCCTCACTTCCAATCTATCCTCTTTCTCTCCATGATTTTTCCCGGAACATAAGCTAATTATTTCCCTTCCTTTTATCTTTACGATTTCCCCCTCTTACACTTCCCTTTAATAACTAATTTCCTTCTCAAACTATTCATTGATACTACCGGAACTGTCACCTGTGACTAATGACGTTATTGTATCCAAGGACTATTAAAATAACTAAATAACTAACACTATTTTCCCCTGGCAACAAAGCATTATGGCGTGCTGTTCTAGCCACATTCTCCACCTTTTCTTCTCTCTGTTACATGAAGGAAGGCCAGGACTCATCTGATTATCATAGATCAATACAAAGGGATTAAACTATTACGTTAATACACATATCAAGCATTAAAATCTATTATATGAGGGTAAAACGTGATTTTAAATAGCAGCACTCGGCTTACCTGTTACATAGAGGAAGGCCAGGACTCGTCTGACGAGAAGTCGTTAAAGTATCAAACTCTTTGCTTTCCTCCAAGTGAATTGTTAACATTTAAACAAATCAATCATTTATATGAGTATTATCATTTACTCTATTTGTTACAACATTAGATTTTGCTCTATTGATATGCCTTTAGATTTATGAAAATATGTAAACAAATGTTTCAGTGATGGATATGCATCTTTGAAATCAGAAACAGTGCCCCTTTTTAAATGTCGAATTAAATATATATGTGTGTACATATATATATATATATATATAATATATATATATATATATATATATATATATAGATATAGATACACACACATACACATATAATGTGTTGTGTGAGTTGATGTACGTTGTATGTACGTCGTATCTGTGTGCGAGCGCTTCTTCACGTATATGTAAGTTTGTATAACTACATTATCAAACTGTTAAAGTAAAATCGATTATATAATTTCTTAAACTAACGGATACATTGTTTTCTGCGCCACCTTGTAAACACATATAACATCCCCTTTACATAAACAAATCCGCGTGCACCAGCATCCTGTAATTTCCATCTCTCTTCCTCCCCAGGCTGTTTGAGACGCATCCGGACGTTCAAGAGGTGTTCATGCCGTTCAAAGGCGTCGACCTTGAAGAGATAAAGCATTCGAAGCAACTACGAGCCCATGCTTTGAGGTGAGTCAGGGTTCGGAATGTGTTAGTTCGTCTGTTTGAGACTCGGCCTTGTCTCTGTGTATCTGTCATGGGCTTCTGACCCTCTCTCTCTGTGCTAAACTGTCTGTCCTCTCTGCTTGTGGGTCTTTCTATTTATCTGTTTGTTTCTGTGTTTATATGTTTGTTCTTCCACTCGT